ATGCCTAACAAAAACCGAATATCCGTCCACCACTGCCAATGTCAGACTCCAAGGAACCATCAAGCCCATGATTGTCACTAGATAGCTGGGGGGAATTAACATGAGCAATCATAAAGTTTTCTTGAGATTTTGGATCTTCATATCTTTTGCAGGAAAAAGAACAGAAAATTAGCTCAAGTTTTCATAATTTATGCCCTCCTGGAAGAACATCTATCAGAAGTTGTTCTAAGATCATTAAACTCGATCTCGAAATAACAGAAATCTTCATTGTTAACATCATCAGTCTGACTCCAAACATATTAAACTCAATGTCGTTATCCTTATGTCGAAATAGCTGCAACTAGAACATAAGAATGCCAACAAAAAACAAATGGCCTAATGTTTTGGAGAAGAACATCAAACAAGTATCCTTCTAGTTCTTCCTATGTGCCCTTACATTATTTTGATAAGAATTTTTCACCTTACAACTGATTACTAAAATACTGGACAATGCTAATCACTCTGTACTAGAAAACTTGGTGTTATCAGACAACTTTTTGTTTAGAAAATAGAAAGTTCATCGTATAAACAGTTCCAAAACTAGACATCCAGAGCTACCAAACATTTGAATTCCCAAGAAACATAGTCATTTTAGGCTTCCACTCTGTAAATTGTAAACTAGTTCGAAATGATTCCTCTAGTATAATAGCACAACTCGGATCAGCTAGTTCTTGCTTAAATACGATTCATCAACCTAAAAATAACAACGGAAAGAAATGTTTCAATCCGAGCATAGTTTAATAGATGAAGTACCTTTTACAACCCCGAAGGATGATGCTTTGATTTCCACCTTGCCATGATAGAAATTACATAAAAAAAAACGATGACAAATGTTTCAAAACTTTTAAGTCTGATTTTTACTAAAAATCACATTCAACTTCAAGTTAACAGGCCATTGGATTAGTGGATAGTTCATGAACCTTAACTTTAAACAAAATTCAACCTCTAACTTCCACTTTCTTCGATAAAAATGGGCAAAGAAGCGAACGTGGGAGCGTGTATGCTCGGGTTGGCATTAACAATCAAATTTTTACATGCCCTTTGACTAATCCTTTTAAACAACTCATTTGGTACAAAGAAGCTCCTATACCATTCCTTTCCTTAAATGGATGGTTATTATGGCTTCAAAAGTATCTAAACTTACAACTTTTCGAAAGAACACATAGTTTTCTACAATCCATTAATCAATTCCTAATGAACTCAAGAACACAGTAGTACCTATAGAACATATCCTGTTAAAGTTAGGTGGTTCTTAATCAATTCCTATAGGCAGTAATCAAACATTTGGTATACTAATATACAAAATGCATGGATTGAAATTGAACTTAGGCCACGAAACTAACACAAGTTGCTACTTACAAAAACATGATGTATTAATCTAATCATGATCAGAAAACCAGAGCAAAAACAACCCTATTGGAGAAGTAAGGAACTGAGGAAACAGGGGTTAAAAGAATATGATTACCAGAAAGCCGTGTAGCTGTAGAACTCAATTTCGAGACACATGAAGAAGAGGGAAGCGGAGGCGAAAATCGCCTGCCCCAAACGGAGGACCAAGCTTGGGCTTGTGCCCAATGCCCCCGGCAGCTCTTCCATTTTCCCTCTGCAACTTTTCTACGCCGAAACCACTCGCCTCCATCATAGATTCATCGCTCGGAAATGGGGGGAACTTTGAAATTGGGTCTGGAGACCTCGAAATCTGGAGAATGGAATCGGGTTTGTTGGGTTTGTTTGGTTTGTTCGATTTTGTTTGGATGGAAAAGAAAATGGATTCCCGGAAAATGAAAGATCGGAAAGGGGATTTAATGGCTACGCTGCCGCACCGCGATCGTGTTCAACGAGATTGGCTGGCTTTCTGATTTCTGAAGAAAATTCAGATGATTTTGGACATGTAGTTTTAATTGGAAAATTTGCAATTTGTGATTTAGTTTTATATAATTGGACATTCACTGTATGAACGTTGGAATCTTTGCTCACTAAAGACGAGTTTATCGAAACGTCTTCATTTATTTATTTGTGGAACGATACAATTATTTTCTTTAAAGAAAAAATAAAACCGTCAAACCAAAATTATTTTATCAAATTTTATTTCGATTTTATTATATAATTAATTCATCTTGAAATTTTAAATTTATTAAGCTTAAAATATGGAATAAATTATTTTTTTTTGTAAATTTTATAAATTTTAAAAAATTAATTGATATATTAAATATAAAAAGTTATATTTTCCACTAATTTTATATTTACTAGATTTATAATTTTTTTTGAAAACTAAACCTAACAAAAAAAATATATATATATATATATATATATATATTAAACACAAAACAAAAAATTTAAAAATATTAAATATAGTTCACGTTGGAAAAATGAAATAACACAAAATATTGAAACTTAAGAAATAAATTTAAATTAATTAATTTTAATTTTTAATATTAAAAGCAACTGAAATTTCAAACTTTCATTTTCTTCCCCTTTCAAAGTTTTTTAAAATCCCTCCTAAAGAATGCATCTCTCTTTTTCACTTATGTGAGTTCTTACAATTGATTCTCTTGGAGGTCAGCCTCATCGTTTCCTCTCTAACCAACGTGGATTCTCACAAATTCTATATTATCTATGTTGTTATTTTAAAGTCTAAAAGAGTTGTAATAGGGCATAACTGGACAAATTAAAACGCTCTAATTTCCATCGACCAAATGTGGAGTGAATGAAAGGCACAAAGAAGAATTTATATGCAAACTGGAATAAAATAGAACCCCTTCTAGCGTTTCTCTCGAAGAAAGTTTAGCAACTCTCTTAATTAACTTACAAGGACACTATATGCAAATCATAAAACAAAGAAAGAAAGGGGTCTAAGATTCAAGCTGAGCATACCAGACACCCTGGATCTTCACATCCTTTGGAGCTTTTGCTCCCAAATCAGTATCAGATGGCTGAACGCTCTCAAACACACCAATAACTTCACCAGTCTCAGGCCTGCTCTTGGTCACACTCAAAGTGATTTTCCCTATTGAAGATGAAGCATTCTTGTTGTTTTCTTTAGCAAGTTCTTCTTCATCACCTCTTCCACCAGCCGGCAATGCCACCGCATTGTCATAACCAGTCGAACCTCCTCTTCCCTTTGGGTCCAAGAAGGAGGAGCCACGGTATGATGGCACCAAGAAGTCTCCTCCAAAGCTATCTGGCTTTCCAGAGGCCACCAACTGTTTGATGGTGAAGAGGAAAGGAACACGCTCGCCTCCAGGCAGCTGAACAGTGACAGCAGCATAGTCAATTCCATCCTTCTCCTCAAACTTGATGGAACCATCATCAAGCACTTCAAAGGGTCCTTCAATCTCGTCTAGGGTGTAAGTTAGGCGAGTCATGAGCTTGGTGTTTTGGAATTCTGGTGGGGAGTTCTTGTTCACTCCCTCAGCCTTGACAGTGAAAGACGTGGGCTCCAGACAGAACTTTTTGGCTTGGTATTTGCCAGATTTGAAGGCAAATGAATCAACTCCTCCATCAATGGTTGGGCACTGGTTTGCTGTTCCAGTTCCCTTTACTTCAAGGTATGTCTTGCTCTGGATTTCATCAAAGGTGAGTCTCTTTGGTACTCCTTCCGCACCGGCTCCCTGGAAATACAGGAAAATGCATCAAATAGTTCAGATGCTTATCAATTTATCATAGATCAAGTGTCAGTCGGGTCATTCTTGATGCATTATGTTTGATGTTCTCTTATTTTCATTTCACTAACGCTGGAGCATTGTATTTACTTGGTCACTCTGCATTCAAAAATTCCTATTAAGCCTTTTACTAATACGTCCTTAAAATTTTAGATTCATTTTTTTTACTTCAAAGGCACACGAAGTTTCCAAGCTTTAAAATGTGGATCAAGGATTCTCATCCTGTATGAAATTGTCATTAACCTAATTCGAGGTAATCAGATAGAACTCAACTCCCAAAATACAATAACTGAAAGAAATTATCAATCTAAGCAACTAAACTCAGCAGGTAAATTAAAGTACTCTGTACAGAATGGATCCTGAAATTGAAAACATCGAGAATCATAACAAACAAAATCTCCACAAGCAAAGAAAGGGCATACCGAAACGACAAGAGCAGAAGTGGCAAGAGCGAAGCCAGCGATCTTGGCGGCATCAGAGAACTTACGAGCAACGTCTTTGAGATCGGAGTGGAGAGAGCAGGTGAGTCTAGCTCCGGCAGATTCAACGCCAAAAGCTTTAGAAACGCTCTGAGAAGATCTGAGTTGGGAGTTGGCGGTCCTTGCGGAGACGGCCAACTTAGAAGGCTGGATAAGCGTAGCCGCGGCGTGTACTGAGGCCGCCATTGTTCTGTCTCAGTCTCAGTGTCGGAGTGTAGAAATGAAATGTGCTCCGGCGACTGATACTGAAACTATAACGACCAGTAGGGAGGGGTTATGAAAGTGAGAGGAGAGATGATGATTTCGTGGCTTAGGTTAGAGACGGATAAAGAATTGGATAAGAAAAATCTTATTGGGTGATTGCATGCTCAACTATTGGCTTTATTATTTCCACGTGGCTACACCTCATTCGTTAAGAGGATATACCTATAACATCTTTTTTTCTTTAATAATAATTTTACTTTATTTTCCCTTTAATTTTCTTTTGTTGGTTTGTTATTTTTTTAATTTTTTAATTTCTATTTCATAAACATTTGGAATTTGTATTTGAATCATCAAATTTTAATTCAATTTTGGATTAGAGACATAAACAAAATTTATTGAGCATTAGAGGAATACGCCACCAAAGATTATAAAAAGTTGTGTTGATTAAGGGTCATAAGAGATGACGGTTTTTTACTAAGGTTAAATTATAACTTTATTCCGTAAAGTTTCAATAACAATATTGTTATAATATTTCATAATTTTGAGGTCAGTCTTTATTGACACTTATTCTGCATTCGATGGAAGATGATCTAAGAGTAATTTTCTATGTAATAAATATATAAATGAATATGCAAAATTTATGAGACACCTGGTTACAAGATATGTTGTGAACATACAAATGGATGAAGTATTTGGAAAATATATAAAGAGGGTAAGAAGAAAAGAAGCAAAAAAAGTGAAAGAAGATACAAAATTTTTGGTTGATGAAGAAGTGAGGAGCAACAAATGTGTGGGATTTAGAGCTAGAAGAAGCGAGCAAGCATGGCCCAAACAGGGAAGACAAGGAGGAGGACGATGCCAAGGGTGTTGGAAATGCCATGGCTTTGAGTAAGAGAGTTTCTGAAGCCACCTGATGCGCGAATGTGCTCTTGCAGAAGGTAACATCCAATGATCAAACATATCACGACGCCAGCCAAGTGGTCTCTCAATGAGTGTACAAAGAACCCTGGTGCTGCCACCAGAAGCAGAATCAACGACCCTGGAATCTCTAGCCAATCTGCACATCAACATGCTCTCTCAATATTTTCAGCTTTTACAATCTCACTTCCACTTCTTTTAAGTACGAGTTCAATATCAACCACTACAAGTTTGAATCTAAAAGTCATGCTTTATCATACAAAACATCAGGTTACTGAACAATAAGTTGTGGAAAACTAAACAGAGGACACCATGGTTATTACCTGGGAAATGTCGTGGGAAGAAGAGCCTCAATACCACTGCAACGAAGGCAATCCATTTCCCAGCATCCCCTCTTAACAAAATCAAGAAGAAAACGACATCGTTAACATTTGAAAGCCATCGGCTAAAGCAATAAAAATAAGAAGAAACGAGCGTGACTGTCACCTCACTAAGTCGAAAATTCCTTGAGGAAGACTGAAGAAAATGTAAGGGACAAGAAGCGAAGTAAGCATGTTTGTTCTCCAGTTTGTGCGGTCCAAAATCAACAAGTAACTGCACAGTGATGTAATAAAAAAACATGAAATTTAGAACCAAGAACAAGCAAAATCCATAAATAATCCAAAAGGGACCCGTTTTTTGGGCTCCATTGCATTAGAAAGCACTCACATGGCAGCAAAAGAGGCAAGCCATTTGAAGAAAGAAGTCCCAAGGCCCTTTCCACCGAGCTTGGCGGCATGATGAATAAGCCTGGTGGCTGCAATTTTAAGCTCATTGAAATCAGAATTTAAAATCTCATCAATCAGCGGATCACTATTGAGAGCCAAATATGGCATCCTCCCCATTTGGCTTGAGAAAATGTTACAGGGAAGTGAAGAAGAGTATTCAAAGTGTAAGAGTCGGTGAATCATTTATTCAAATACCTTGGATGCATACTTATAGTTTCGAAGGATCTGGGTGATGGGAAAATGTAAAGGGGTCAATCTCCTTGTTTTCAGCAGAGTTAGAGACTCCAAAATGGTAGGAAGTTTCGGATCAGATTGGTTTTCGGCTTCGACTCAGAGCTCCACCGACTGTCTCACCCAAATTCGGGTTACTCCCAACGTTTTTCTCGCTCTCTATTTAACAATAAAAATTAATGATTGTGTTTATTTTTCATATCTAAATTAAAATTTATAAGATTAATGTTAGGAATCACAAATCTACCCGTATCATATTGTCAGCTTTAAGCTTCTCTATAAGGTCTCATACAAATGTAGATAGTATTCATTCCTTATAAATTCATAATAATACTCCACAATCTTCTTCTCTAACAAACTACACTATAAGCTTCAAATGCCTCCCTTAATCGAGGCTTAACTCCTTTCTCTGGACCCCTCAAACAAAATACACAATTTGTTCGACATTTTAATTACTTGTGACTACACCTTCGAGGCTCAAAATTATATGTTCGATATTTGATGATTCTATTGTCATGGCTCTAATACCAAATGAGAATGTGAGTATACTTTTAATCTAAAAATCAAATATTCGAATCTCTTATTTATATATGGTACAAATTATAATAAAAGAAATATCGAAAATTATTAGAGCACGATGAAATTTATAAATTATAAGATGATATATTAATTATGGAATAAAATATGTGTAAAAACGAACAAGAAACAAAAAGCCAAAACACAATTATGAAGGGGAGGAAGAAGAGGGAACAAAAGATAGTAGAAAGTGGATAGGCTTTGTGTATTGACTGAAAATGCTTAATCATGAACCAAAAAATAAAAACACCTTTTTTTAACAGAAAAAAGAAAAAGGAAAATAGGATGCGTTATGCAATTATTAGAGAGGTCTATATGGATCCTTGTTTTTATAATTTTTTATTCTATTAAATTTTTATATATAAGTTTCAAAATATTTTAAATTAAACCCTCACCTTTAATAGAGCATTGTTGTGCATAATTAGAGCATGAATCAGAGGCACACGTGTCATGAGATGATATTAATTTAATATACATCTATCCGCTCAAAAGCCGTGCCACAATCAAAACGGTGCGTCGAAGCATCCAATTTGATTCCCATAAAAATAATAATAAAGGTAAGCTTTCGTGGCATTCATTCCATGAAATGTGGGGCCCAAGAGGGGGGTGAATAATCACCTGCAAGAGGTTCTACTGCTGAGGATGGTGGTTTCGTCCTCTCCGGCCATCAAGTACCGCCGATTCATGCGAATCACATACTTGAGTTTTGAACTTACATCCAAAACGCCTGATCAACGACCCTCGCCATCGCCGGGCGCCGTCTTGTGGTTCTGCCTCCGCTTTATCGATCTGATCGATTAGTTTCTTCATCGTCGAGCATTCTCTTTCAAGTTGATGCACTCGCGTCCTCATGCTATCCATGTCTAAGCGAAGCATCTGATTCTCCCTCACCGTCTCTCTCCACGTGCCGCTCTCGTGCGCTATTGCGGCCGGAACTTCATCCTCCATTTCGTCTCCCTGTTGCATCTCCTCCGTTTCGCGACGGGAAACGGCTGAGAATCTTCCGGTCTCCGCCGGAACTGTCTCCGCGGCTATGAGTGTTCCGGCGATGGCGTGACGAAGCTGCAGCTGTTCGAAGAAAAGGACCTGTACTACTGCTCGCAGTGGAAGTCGGTCGTTTTGAGCGGCGTGGGTGCATGCCTCTAATGTCAGCTTTTGGCAGTCTATTACTCCGCAGATCTTATCGCGTTCAGCTTCCGAGATCCACGGATGCGCCTGTTAAAATTAGTTACAGAATTAATTAGCTAAGGCCGATAGAGGATTTTGAGATCAGTGCTGAGTTAGGATTGTGAGGTTGCTTCTTGCGAACCTTGAGGTAAACGTCGACGGCTCGATAAACACCGTCGTCGAAGAGTCTAGCCTGTTCGGGGAGAGAAATTGCCAGGTTGTAGAATTTTTCCGGCTTCAGATTTGAGTCGGACGCGATCTCGGCGAGATATCCATCTATTAATTTGCCGACGAGCATTAACGCTGGCGATCTGAGACCGTCATCTTCGGCTTGATTATCTTCCGTTGCATTTCTCTCGACGAATCCATCCAAGAAGCAGGACAAGATTCTCTCCACACAACCGACGTCATATAAGGTCTCGTTCAGATACGAATAACTTGGAATCAGAAGATCATCCAGAGTAGCTTGTTCGAGTTGCGATCCTATTTTCTTCTCTAAAGCAGCTTTGCAAGCCTCCGAAGCGTTCAATATATTGGCCGTCCTCAGTAATCCGAAGTGGAACCTTGTTGTGGTTGAAGTTTTGGAGCTCTTCTCCAATGGAAGATTACTGATTATGGTCTCTAACAACTCCTTCTGTTCAGTCTCCGTTAGCATACTAGACGAAGAGGAAGGCAAGGATGGCTTCCGGTTCGACCTGGATATACCTGGAATGTATTTCTTTGCGTAGTTCATTAAACTGCTCTCAATAATCTCCGAGCTTACACCTTGATCTCTCATGGAGAAAATCAACTGCTTAAACAGAGGCAGACTCAGCTGCGCGAGATCTTCAAACCAGGAGACTCCATTACTTCCCCTTCCACCGCTTTTCTTTCGCCCTCCGGTTTCGATTCCATGCCATAGCATCTGCTTCGTATGATCTTGAGCGTCATTGGCTCCGTCACTGACTGGCCATCCGAACAAAGCCGGATCGGATGAATGCGCTTTTGAAGCAATCGAAGCTATACATCTCTGCGTAATGCCTAAGGTCTCAGCTAGAGGCATTACAGGTTCACAAGATTTCAGCGTTTTGATCGACTCTTTGATGCTTTTGAGTACAGTCTGAGAGAGGAATCTCTCAGTTTTTGAAATTAAATTGTCTTCGCTGTACTCTTCTGTCATTTCCAGAAACTCTCCGGCGCAGCGGAGAGAAGCGACATTGGAAGAATTGAGGTCGATCTTCACACCGTAGCAAAACTTCGATGCCATCTCGAAGATCTCGGAGCTGCAGGGGAAATCAGAGAGCACAATATGGCAGTGTTCTTCCTCAACTTCATCTTCTTCCAGTTCCTCTGATTCGGTAATTTCATTTTGATTCTCTCTGGTAGGAGTAACGTAGTTTTCTTCTCGATGAGTTATCAAATTATCTAGTTTCCGGCTCTTCGACATTAGAGGAAACTGGAAATTTACAAAAGAATGAGGTCAGAACTCCAGAAACGGTCTGAAACAACCAGATCAACGGAGAAAGAGAGAGAAATTTCGCAAGGAGATTAAGGAGGCGACCTTATGGAGATGGAAAGCCATATCGTCCACTTCAATGACAATGTCACTCGGTAAGCCATTGGTGCAGAACCTGTAAAACAAAAACTCAAAGAAATCATTCCAATCAGCACTATTACCATGGGAGTTCCAACCGAAGAAGGTCTCTAAAAATGGGAAGAACATAAGAACTCACCAAGCTTGTCTTTTAGCGCTGGGCTTCCCTGCAACTGCTTGCGATTCTGTAGCCATTTTCTCAGGAAAAACTCTGCATACAACCTCCGACAATCAGACACTGAAACTAGAAAACCAGCTCCATTTCTTGCACAAACCAGAGAAGCTCGAAGGCACAGAAATTATGTGTTGGGTTTTAGGAAATGAAAACAAACACAGGGAAAGAACAAAGAATTGAGATCCTTTTCAGGAGTAATTTTGGTTGGGTGAAACGGATTAGACTTGGACAGAAGAACAGATAAAAAGAAAACAATGCGAACGATGGGGAGAGAATTTGTTTGGTTGCGATTTCGTTTCTTCGGAAGAATAAATCTGACAAAGTAAGCTTCATCAAATCAAAAGGCGAATGGCACTGCGATGGGGTTTCAACTTTCAACAAAATTTCTCATTCTTCGGTTGCTATTGCTGTTGATCTACGAATCAGGTCAGAATCTCTTTCACCCGCTCCACTTTAGTTGATTGATTCAAATTCCTTTCTTCATCGTCAAAGAATGGAAAACGTAGCCTTACTAATAATTCCACATTTTTCTTCGCTACTGCTACACACTAATTTCTATTCTAATAATTATTACAAATTCAAGTACAAGATTCATATAGATTAAAGAAGAAAAAAAAGTTCTAAATTAAATGAAAAAGAAATACACTAACTTTTTCTAAAGTAAACATTTTAAATTAAACCTAATGAGTAAATCTTATTGGAAATTAAATTTCTGTTAATTATTAAAGGAGCAGTGACATTTATTTTTTAATTTTATTTTAAAAAATATATATTTTTTCTCCCTCCTCCTCCCACCAATCTCCTTCTTCATTCAAAACAAATTTAACATTAGTATTTTTTTAACAAAATTGGATGTATTTTTCTTTATTTTATATCTAACTTGAAAATTAAATTTACCCTTTTCAGTTGGTGGTAAAAATATTATACTAACTAAAAGAACAGTTCATTAGAAACTTAGGGACATGCTTGTGAATTATGAATGCCCCAAGTGGCAATGTGACCTCATCAAGAGGGAACTCATAATGTTAGCCTCCACAAGATGAGACTGAGACTATGCTATAGGGATTCCATATTTCATATATTTTTTTTTTAATATTCATCACCATTGTGGGACTAAATTATAAATATAAAGACATGAAAAAAAAAAAAAAAAAACCTAAATTGGAAAATTTTAATTAGTAAGGATTAAATTGAAAAAGAAAATATTGAAACCTCCCCACTAAAACATATGTTCAACCTAAATTAAATGTACCAACTGTTGGAGTTCTGTTTGTATGGGCAGTGATGCCCATCTTAATGAGATGACAAGAAAGGCATGGGCCATTTGCTACTCAGTTGATTAAGCATACATGTTAATCATAAATATTAGAAATCATGTGAAATATATAATTTATACAATGATTTAAACTTTAATACAATTCAAAAGGATATTATTTGCTTGGCAGACAAACCCCACTTCAAAAAGTGAATCTTCTCGTTAATTATTTTCCCTTTTTTTGGGTGGAAAATCTTGATTGAATTAAAAATGTATAAAGAAGATTGCAGATTTAGGGTTTAGGGAATCAGTAATTATTGAAAATCACATGGTTATAGGTTTGGATAGCAAAAACAATTGGGTTTGTAAGAAGGGAAGGAAGACAATGTGATGCCAAAAAGAATTTGTCATGATATATATTTGGTTACATCTATCAGGTCTTTCTAGGCATGGCCATCACCGTGTGTTCCCCAAGTCTTTGATCTAATTAATTTTTGTAGTGGGGAAAGCACTTGAAATGAAGATGGGGAAAGCGTCCAAATGGACACAAAACCCCAGAAAATGCAGGTACGTTATGGGGCACATTGCCCAAGAACTGAGCTTACAGATTATTTGGTTAGTTTATTGGTTTGTTTGTTTGTTTATATCTTATTCATATTTAAAGCATTTTCAGCAAGCACGTCTCCAAAAGTGTATTTTGACTTTGGAAGGCTAATCGTTCCATTGAGTACCACTTTCTCTTGAATTCTATGACAAAATTAGGGCTTAAGATATGACAAGACTATGAAAGTATAAAAAAAAAATGATTTATACTAGAAACATGCATTTTAGTAGTTCTTAGAAGAGGTTAAATAATGGGAGAGAGTATGTTTGAGGCAAAATTTTGGATCTATGATGTGTGTGTGTGTGATAGATGGGGGCATAAAGTCAAGGCTGTAGGTGTTGGGTGTTGGCACACATATATGCCTTGGTGGTTGCTGCTTATCACATGCCTCCCAAGAACCTCTCTCCACAATTCTTGCTGCTTTGCTTGATCCACAACTCTACCACATTATTGCATTCAATTGAGTCCTCTACTACAAACCCATCTCATTTTTGCACATTCTTCCAGGGCTTTTTTTTTTTTTTTTTTTTTGTTTTGGGACTTGCTTGTTGGATAAAAGTCCACATCGGCCGGCACATTCTTTCCGGTTAGGACATTTTCTGTTTTGGGACTTGCTTGTTGGATAAAAGTCACACATCGGCTAATTTAGAGAATAATCATGAATTTATAATCAAAGAATACTATGTACATTGGTGTGAGGCCTTTTGGAAAAGTCCAAAACAAAACCATGAGAGGTTATGCTTAAAGTGGACAATATCATACAATTGTGAAGAGTCGTATTGATCTAACATTGCTTAGAACAGAAGTCCATTGGGTGTGCCTTCAACTGACGAGGTAGAATTATAGGTCAGGAAAAAGAAGATTCATAATGTTTTACTATCTGGAATTTGTTCACTGTTCATCCTTTGACAACTTGTGATTTAGGCTCTGTCAAATGGGAAGCCCACTGTTGTGGAGTTCTACGCAGATTGGTGAGAAGTTTGTAGGCAATTGGCTACAGTAGTATACAAAGTAGAGCAACAGTAGAAGCTATAATCTTGTTCAATTACTTGTTTTTGATAATACGAAGTGGGAGCACGGGTTGATGAGTTTGGACAAAGAAGAGAATGGAGAGGGTTAATGTAGTTGGCCGACTTCCAAAGCAATATCTGCTTGAGACATTAAATGTTTTCCATTGGATATACAAATCATGGTGAAGTGTAAGACATTAAATGTCCTACAAAAGAGCTTCCCCTTCTTTTTCCTCTATTTTCACCGTACTACATTACCCAATAAACTATTTGTTGAAGGTGAGCTTTGTTCACTTAACCAAGGATCTTGTATGGAAACTGGGGAACTATCCGTAATCTCCTCTACAGGAGGCAGATGGTCCTTTTGATGATTGTTCTCTGGTGGGATTATCAATCTCTGACTCCCCAGTCCTGCAAGCAGCCCGGCCTTCTTAATTGTAATGCTACTAATAGATCTATCGCTTATACTACGAGGAGATGAGCAAGCCGACCCTGCTGATGATGCTGCACAAAGATTCTCCTCCATTGATGTCCACCCGTTGCGTCTGATGGATTCCAGTTCCTCTGCTACTTCTGTCATTGAAGGCCTCATGTCGCTATGAAAAGCAAGGCATCTGAATGCTAGCTCAGCCACCTTGTGAATAGAGTAGAGGGTCCAAGCATCTCTATGTGGCTCGAGGAAAGGATCAATTAGTTCATCCACAGCACCTCTCCCAATCCTATCAATGGCAAGTGCTGCTAGGTTTACTTCACTCTGGGGACGAGTGAAATCAACCACTTTCAATGCTGTTATTATCTCTACCAGGACTACTCCAAAACTATAAACGTCACTTTTATCTGAAAGATAGAAATTTTGATGGTATTGTGGATCAACATAGCCCGGAGTCCCTTGTGGAGCGGTTGAGACGTGTGATATTTCTGTCATACCAAGTCTAGAAAGACCAAAATCTGCAACTTTTGATTTGAATCCATGATCCAAAAGTATATTGCTTGACTTGATATCTCTATGATATATTGGTGGATGCACAGCAGAATGTAGGTATGCTATTGCATTGGAAGTTTCAGCTGCAATGGTGAGCCTTGTCGTCCATCGGAGGCCATTTCCACGCTCTCTCTGGAGATGTTGGGAGAGAGTTCCATTGGGCATAAACTCATAGACAAGGATCTGTTGGCCTTCTTCAATGCAGCAGCCAAGCAAGCGGACTAGATTTGGGTGGCTCACCGAGGAGAGTAGTTTTATCTCATTCATGACCTGATCAATGCTATTGTGGTCTCTATATTTGATCTTCTTCACAGCAACCCACTCATCCTCATGAAGCCTCCCTGCATAGACTGTACCAAAGGCTCCAGTTCCCAGCCTTTGTTTCTCAGAGAAGCCATTAGTGGCTCTTTCTATTTCCTTGTAGGGATATAAAGTTACACTGGAATTTCCAGCAGCCTCACTTAGAAGCCGCTTCGCACTCATCTGACCTTTCAGACACATTGAGCGGCGTCGGATGCAATAACAGAGGAGGGTGAGGACAGCCATTAGAAAAGCTCCAACAAAAACACCTGAGATTGAACTTTGTTAGAACTATACGTTAGGAATCACGACCATCACAATGGTATGAGATGGTTTACCTGCAATCAGAAAAGTGAATCTGCCTCCGCTACAGCGGCCAGTAATGAATGTTTTAGGATTGCACTTGTGAGAAACTGTACCAAATGCCAAAGCACCCAGCAAAACAAATCAACAAAATAAGCAAACAAACATAAAAAAATCCATTGACCATGCATTCTTTGTTTGACCAATTCTGCTGATCATTCAGATCATTAGAAAATTTTAACATTGTTGGCATCACAATTCTCCCTCCCTTTCATACTATTATGGGCACATGGCATTCTGTTTTCACACGAAAATCATATTCATCTCTACCCACCAATAACCCAAACTTTCAGAAACGTCAGAATTGACTTTCCCATTCACTAACACTATTTTAAAGGCGTCTCAAAAGGAAAATATATATTTAAAAGGGAATATAAAAAGAAATCTGATTCAAAGGAAAAAGAAAAGCAGCCCTTAATTATTCTTTCTAACTATTTGGGTATAATAGAGAAAATTATTAAATTGCAAATTTAATCAATAAGAGAAAATTTCTTCACTATAATTTGATAAAAACCTATAAATAGTTCATAGATAAATAGAAATTAATTATCATATTTAAAATTATAGCAATTAAATTCTTAAGTTTTTATATTTAAGAAAGTCGACTACTATTTTTGCCAGCGTTGGCCAGGTGACAATTTTTAATTGGTTGGCATATACCGTTTTTCCCAGTTTACCCCTGGGGATGGGTATATTAGACTACCAACTAAAAAATTAGAAATAATCAGGAACCCAATGCGTTGAATGTTCAAATATCTTAAATTTTTAATGTCTTTTTTTTAATAAAATAAATAGAGTTGTCTCACGACTTACCTTTCCGGCAGCCGTGGCCGACGCCGGCGTAAGCATTTCCTTCATATCCTTTCGTGCATTGGCAACGAAATCCTAGGAGGCCCGTCGAGTTGGTAATTTCCGTGGGATTGGCGTTTTTTGCGCATCCTCCGGAAGCCAAGGGTGAGAGCCACCACTCTAACTCAATGACCCCGAACTCGATCTCGGAGGTCGATTCTGATGAAGAATTAACGAAGACAGAGTACAAAAGGGACTGGCACTTATCCAAAGCCGGCATAAATCCATTTTGCTTGGGCTCGGTGAAGCAGCTCAAATTATTGCTATTAAAGCCGCAATTCTGCGGCTGATTCTGGTCGAAATTGGCTATTACTACGCATGGAATAGGTCGTTCAGTACAATTCAGGAGGAGACTGTTGCGGAGAGTGGGCCTGTAGTTTTTGCCGAACAGTTCTGAAATTGAATCGATAGAGATATTGCATTCTGAAGGAAGTTTGATGAGGATGCTCCTTTCAGTAATGTTCTGGACCTGGAATCTTCCGATTTGAGTCTCGCCATTTTCGCTGCAATTCAATTTGATTTCGCTTTTGTTTGAGAATCCAAACGGACGGTGTACAAATTCCGCCGAATTCCCGGTTTCGCAGGGCGTTAACTCCTCGGCGATTGTTAAAGAATCCGAAAGAATTGCGATAATAACGATAACAAAGTATCGGCGCCAAGTCATAGTCGACTCCAACTTACTCCAACTAAACAAGAAACAAATAGAATCATCACCTCCCTGCAAAAGAAGATTTATCTTTAAACCCAAGCCAAGCCAAGCCAAAACAGAATCAAATTCGTAGTCTCGGAGGGGAAAGGATCGGCAGTATTCGAACATAAACTATACAAATTCATGAAAAGAAAAACAGAGAAATATCTCCTCAAATCGATTTCTTACGACGAGTTCGCAAATAACCTAAAAATTTCAGAACTCCGAAATTAAATGAAGAATTTAAAGCAGGACTGCGATGCGGTTGGAAGGCTAACCATCCATCCTAATAAATGCTCTCAGATGGAAGCAAATATCGAAAACGAAAAGGAACGAACAGTTTCTACGGTCATTATATTTATGAATTGAAAACTCTACCTCTGAAATCGCTCTTCAATGGCAGTAAATGCTCAGTCGATCACACATGGAAGCTGGTGAAAGAAGAATTCGACACGATCGCAAATTTACAGATTAGATTAAAACGGAAGAAAATTTTTCTCAAGAGCGATTGGAAAGCTTGTTGGTTTTGATGGAAAGCTGAGGATAAGAGAGAACGAACCGTGAAATTCAGAGGAGCTCCGTCTTCCTCCTCTTCTTCTTTTTAACGTACTCACGAAGGTTTTTATTATTTTAATTTTATTTATATATAAATGATATGACCATCGTACCCTTCGCGTCATTTTAATACTCTGCACAACTGAAACAGAATTACGAAAATAGCCTTGATATTTTGAACATTTTTTTTTTAATGTAATGTCCTTTATTATTGTTATTAATTTATTTTCCTATTACATCATTTTTTTTTCTTCTTTTGTTGGCATTTAAATGCAAAATAGTTATCTGAAATTTAGAAAGTATCATTAAATTAAGTGAGTTAGATTACTGTATTAATAATTAAAAAGTGTGAAATTCCAATTCTAACCCTACTCTTGGGTTCAAAGAAATGAATGAAAGTGGGAAATTAAGTGGATGAAATGAAAGCGAAGGATTTTGGGTGGGAAAAGGCAAGTGGACGAAAATGCCCCGCTGGATGGGGAAATGAAATAAGAGAGTCAACGGGAAAAGGATTATAAAAAGAAATTGACCAAAAAGGGCAGCAAGGGACATAAGTGGACGGCATCCTGCCCCCGCCATCTTTGATATTCATTTTTTTTTTAATTAAAAAAAATCCAATAATTATTTACTATATAGGTTAAATTAATAATTAAGATCTCATAAAATTTAAATATCAAATATTTACATATTTAAAGTTCGGAGGTCTTTACTGTGTAATGCAAGTATACTTTTAACTTTATACATACTTTATAAAATTACTTTAAAAATCACCTTTAATTATTCTTTTTCCTCTTCTTTTTTGTTTATCAAAAGTAAGATCATCCTTTTCTCTACTAGAACTCAGGCTAAAAATTTCCTTTTTTTTTTTTTTTTTTTTTTTTTTTTTTTTTTTTTTTTTTTTTTTTTTTTTTTTTTTTTTGTAAAGAAGAATTAAATAGGAGATAAAGAATATGGGGAATTAAAATTTGAATGATCATAGGTGAATTCATAAATAAATGTGATTAAGATTATATTATTAGAAGAGTCCTAAAGTAAATCAGTTTCTAATATTAAGATGTAAAAAAATCAATATGCATAATAAAATGATTTAAGGATAAAGTTAATAAATAAAAGAAACCAAGTAATCATTACGGGAGGCTCATACAATAATTTATCCTACAAAGAAAAGGGAAAATTAGAGAATGTTAAGAAAAAAGGGCAGGAGTGTAAATTAGCACTCAAAATGAGACTTGGAAGAGGACTGTGGGGGAAGTCTTCCGCCGTTTCTGGGAAGTGGAAAGTGTGATTTGACAGAACTGCCCCCATAGCCAAAATTATTGACCGGACGACTCCTCAAATATTGACATTACCTGAAAGAAAGGATAAGTTATAAAAATAAATCAATTTCTTATATTCATAAAATTATTTTATTTTCATCCAATCAAGAAGATCATGAGTTTATAAATAAAAAATACTCTCTCGATATTAACTTGTTGTATTGTGTGTTTTTTTTTTTTTGGATTTGAATTACATTGATTTTTTTATTTGATTTTTGGTTTCCGTATTTTTATTACGAAAATGATTTGAAATATAATGGATTTCAGATTATAAAAAAAAAAATAAACAAAATAAATTAGAAGACAATTATTTATTTAGTTACAAAATAAATTTATTTTTTTAGTACAAGACAAATAATTAATTTACAACTATAATCTTCTTCAATTTCAACCAAAATTTAACTCTAATATAATTTTAAAAATAATAAAACATAAACCCTCGTAAAACCCTACGTCCCTTCTTTACCCAATCCGTTCGCTATCATCTCTTTCTTCTCTGATATCACCTTTCTCCCATTCTCGCGGCAGCCGCGCACCGCCACTTCCTTGCCGCAGCCGCTCCATCTCTCAATGGCTCGTACTTAAGGTCTGTTCCGACCTTTTACTTAGTCATTCTTTTATCTATTCAGTTCAATCAACATCAAAGTAAGGTCAATTTGAAATCAGGTCTAGGAATTAGAATGAAGCATCGTGGTTTATCATACAGAGAATTTAGACATAATCACTTGACTTTTTTTTTTTTTTTTTCTTTTCTCTCTGCTGATAGATTACAACTTGGTTTGCTTTGAAATTTCGCCATGACTTTACTTGAAGTCATTAAGCAATCCTCCGCCTTATCCAAACCGCTTGTTTCCCAATTTGATTACCCCATTCTCCTCAATCCAGACGATATTCTAATCAGTTTGAAATCCAAAGTTGATGAACCAGATCGCCTTAGTCTTGTCAATCCCATTGTTGGATGGCAAGTATCGGAAACCGATTCCTAGGTGATAGAGCTGGGGAAAAAGTTCCATGAAAATTTCAGGCAGAAGCTCAAAAACAGAAACTTCTCAAAGCCTGAGTTTATAAACATTTTGAAGGCGTTTCTTGAGAAAATGAGGGAAAGGGTTGGAATTGCAGTTGGTGTTAGTTCATCCGACAATTGTTACACTAAGGTTCTGATTGAGAAACTCGGGTTCCTGATGAGTAAAGACGTTAGAGAGGTGGTTTTAGATACATGTATTGCGTTCGAGGACTGGGAATTGGTAGAGACTTTTGTTGTGAATAGGCTTGTTAAACACTCATCTTATTCAAATTTGATTGTGAAGCTGGTGGGGAAGAAGAGGTCGGATTTACTTTGTCTTTGTATCCAACAAGCACCTGATTTTGGTCCTGCTGGTTTACATTGCCTTTTGAAGTACTTTCTTTGCCCTTCCAAGAAGGCTGATGCGAGTATAGCTAACGTGAGAAAGGGATGGGAGGGCCAAGCATTGGTAGCCATTGAGAAGGCAAAGGAGGCTGCAATTCTGCTCATGATAGCACATGATGGATTCTCAGTTCGAGAACTGTGTTTGCATTATCTGTTGGCATCACCTAATCTTGATGAATCAATTCTTTCTTCTGCTCTCAGTAAGCTGAATCATGAAGAGATGATTAGTTTGATTCGGTATCTGGGAGAATGGTTAAAGAAATATGAGAGATTTCCTCACGCAGTTTCTTGTCCAAATGCATCTACTGTGTTGGGTTTGAAGGCTTGTGATAGGGTTCCCAAACTTGATGATGTGGTCAGATATGTTGGACTAATGCTGGACGAGAACTTCTCTTCGTTGGTGTTGCATCCAGATTTTCACGAGGAGCTTGAAATCCATGGAGGGTCTGGTTAGTTCTTTAGCCCTGGAATCAAAACTCTGCTGTTATGTTGCTAATATAGCAGAAAATTTAAGAACCGAAGATTTAAAGTGCTTCAAAATTGATTATCTTATTGCTCCATGCTTTTTATGGTTTATTACAATGGCTACCATAAGAACTTCCTTGGATTCAAACATTTTCAAGAAAAACTCAATCTGCTCATCAAAGTTGTTACAAAATCACGAACGGAGAAATGACCAATTTGAAAGCAACTCACATAGGTACCTTCATTTTTGGTTTCTTCACGTAGATATGTTCATTTTCTCTGATCTGTCCAGTTATTACACCAACTTTCTCAGCAACCAAATAGAGCTCAAACCTTCAAGTTAAAAGTATCAAATGCCACAACATTATATGAAGTCTTAGGTGCACTAAGTTTCCTGCTGAATTGAACTATCTTAATGTTAATGAAACTTTATGATTCATTAACATTCGACACCTTTTGTGTCATTTTTTGTCGTTAAAGCTAACGACCGAACTTTATTTTGTGTCTTAATTGCCCGTTACATATTATTCGATAGACTTTGACTTACACCATAATATGTGTTTACTTATTGAACAATTAGGACATCAATAAGAAGAGGTATCATAATTTCAGAATCTAGCTAACTTATTCATCACAGGTTAACCATATCTAGAAACAAGACACAACTATTCAAACAATAATGGACATGCCTAGATGTTTATATCTTCAATTGTCTTAAGGTTTTGGATGGTTAAAATTAATCCAATAATTGAGAGGCTATTATTTGTTTATTTGTTTTTTGTTTTTTTTAATTGATAGGCTATTATTGAATCACAATGGGTTCATGAGTTGCTGGGCAAGTGGTCCACTTGTAAGACTATTCTCAACTTTATGGTTCGAATTTAAATTTGTTTAAAAAAAAAGCCTTTAATAGCAAAATGTGTAAAAGAGTGTTTATTATAATAATGAGCCTTAATATATAGTTGAATAAATCATAACTGTATAGTTTATTTATTGGACTTATGAAGGTGAAGTTTTTAGTGTAAGGTTATATTGATATATTATAATTTAATTAACACTAACCGAAATTGGGAATATTATAATGGAAGCGGGAATAGAAAAATATGATAATTTATTGCGTTTGAAATGCGTGATCTAAATTTAAAAATGCGACAACATACCCGTGGAGAGAGAATCCAAGGGAGAGAAATAATAATTAAATAAATAAAAAAATAAAAAAATGAAAAAGACGTGGCCAATTCGGAGGTTAAAAGGACAGAATTGGATATCAACAACTCACCCTAAAAGACAAAAGCACTGTTGGACCAACTGGGCCCCCCACCCCCACCCTTTAGACTGGGCCCTCTCTCCCTCTTTCGCCTTTCTTCCACCAACCCAAAACCCGATACGCGTGAAAAAACAAAATTTTAAACTTTAAGAACTTAATGCATATAATATATATAATCATATTTTTGTTTTAAATTAATTCTATATATTTTATATATGTTTCTAAAAATAAGTTAAATTTTGAAGACTAAAAAAATAGTTTGAAAGAATTTGTATTTTGTTTTTAATTTTAGTAAATACACAAATTCTATTTAAATACATATTTTGGTCTTCCGATTTAAAAGAAATGTTTTAGTCTTTATTTAATTTAATTTTGAAGGTTGATAATTGGATTATTCAGTTTCATAATTTTATAGTTAAAACAATTCTTTTAAAGTTAAAAATAAATCGAAATAAATATTTAAATAAATATATAAGCATAATATTATTTATTCTATTATTTCTACAGAAAAGATTCCGCCTCCAACATCCAAACTGCTGGTTATTCCTTCCCCTCACTTTCTCTCTCTCATCTCCAAAAGCTCTCTTTTCTTTTTTCTCTCACCCAAACAGTGCGTCGTTCTCTCATCCCCACCGAATTTGGATTTTCCAGGTTCTTCTTCTTCTTCTTCTTCTTCTTCTCCCTCTCTCTCTCTCTCTCTCATTATTTGATTTATTTGTTTCTTAAATCCTTTATTGCGAGTTGTTGTTTTGTTTGTTCATTTTTTGTCCTCTCTGTGCTTTTTCTCTTGCTGTGTTCTTACTTGTGGTTTATTTTTTCTTTCCTGTTCATCCCTTTTGGTTTATTACAGATTGCTAAAGGTTCGGTTCGGTTCGGATATACCTTTGAGAGATTTTTCAAGGGCTCACAGTGATTCTTTGAATTGCTTGGTGATATAGGAATTTGTTGCTTCGTTAAATGCTCTTTACTTTACCGCTTTATTTGCTTTTCTTGGTGTTAGGGTTAGAGTTGAAATTAGGGTTAGGGCCTTAGATTTTGGGATAGAAATGCCTCTGGTGGAGGCAATGGTTTCGGATCCTGTTGATGGTCTACAGTATTCGTTTGCTAAGGAGTACAAAGGCCCACCGGTGCCCTATGATCTTCCTCAGGCTCTTCCGATCAACGTGGAGCGGATTCCGGTGGCTGCAGTGGTAGCTGAGGTTCCGTTTACTCATAAAATGTCTTTGCCGGTTGTTCAGCCCATTTTAGCGCAGGATGTTCTTACTAAGAAGTTTTCTAAAGAGTTGGAAGCTGCTGGTGGGAAGTCTGTGGTTTCGCCTACATCTGTAATTGCCTTTGATCAGAGTACTGAGGATAGTCACCGGTGTCGGTCGAAAGAATCAGATTCTGGCTCTGAAAGAACAGTTTCACCAACTTCTGTTATTGCCTTTGAGGAGAGAGCAGTGAGTAACCATGGATGTCAATTGTCTGGTGATTTGAGTAGTTCAGGTGCCTTGGAGTTTTCGAATGGGCAAATTGTTTCTGGTGAATTGTCGGATGTGGGCAACTGCTCGACGGCATTTGGCTGCTCATCAATTAGTCATGGAAATTCTTCTGAGTTATTAGGTGATGCTGGGAGTTCTTGCACAATGGAGTTTTCTGGAAGCTTTAATAAATCACAGCGAAGCTCATGTTCTTTGAGAGCTTCAAATTGTAGGAATGAAAGCTTAGATTTCAATGATATCAATCAAGTTGATTGGGTCTCTACAGAATCAGTATTGAGTACGGAATATCCATCTTCTCGGGTTTCATCTATGACAGTTGTAAATGAGGGTGGTGGTGATGGTAGGCAGTCAGCTGGAACAGTTTTTGACCATGAGTCCGATGATACATGTAATGAAGAGTATAGTCAGGATGTGCCAGAAACTTTGCGAATGAAAAGAGAACCACTAAGAAACGGAAAGAGAGGATCTTGTTATCGGTGCTGCAAGGGTAATCGGTTCACTGAAAAGGAGGTCTGCATTGTATGTGATGCCAAGTATTGTAGTAGTTGTGTGCTTAGAGCTATGGGTTCAATGCCTGAAGGTCGCAAATGTGTTACCTGTATAGGTTTTCCCATTGATGAGTTGAAGCGAGGTAATTTGGGAAAATGTTCCAGAATGCTTAAGAGACTGTTGAATGAGTTGGAGATTCAACAGGTTATGAAGGCTGAGAAGTGTTGTGAGGCGAATCAGCTACCACCAGAGTACGTTTGTGTGAATGGGAAACCTTTATCTTTCGAGGAGCTTACAGTGCTACAAACCTGCCCCAACCCACCAAAGAACCTAAAACCAGGAAATTATTGGTACGATAAAGTTTCTGGTCTTTGGGGAAAGGTGAGTCTAGTTACCTTCAGTTGCCTTTTCTTTTCTTTTATATTCTCTTTTAATTATATTTCTTCATTACGTAATTGAACATTCTAATCTATTCAACAGGAAGGACAGAAACCTTCGAAGATAATTACTCCTCATCTTAACGTTGGTGGCCCTATTAAGGCAGATGCTAGCAATGGAAATACACAGATTTTTATAAATGGCCGAGAAATCACAAAAGTAGAGCTCCGGATGCTGCAGGTAAAATTTGCAAGTGTAACCTTTGTTTCTAGGGTAAGTAACTTCTAAAATTAAAAGGGAACATTTGATCAATGTAGTTGGCTGGAGTTCAATGTGCTGGTAATCCACACTTTTGGGTCAATGAGGATGGATCATACCAAGAGGAGGGACAGAAAAACACCAAAGGGTACATATGGGGGAAGGTACTGTCTTGTGGAAATAAACAGTAAACTTAGATTTTAGCTTACATTCGTAGCTTTAATCGGTCATATACTCGTTTTTAACTTCTTCATTACATTTTAGGCTGGAACGAAGCTAGTCTGTGCTCTGTTATCGCTACCAGTTCCTTCTAAATCTTCAACTTATTCTGGGGAACCAGAAAGCAGCCTGGTTTACAGAACTTTTCCTGACTACTTTGCTCTTCAAAAGCTCCTTTTAGTTGGTTATGATGGATCTGGGACAAGTACTATATTCAAGCAGGTAGTTTCTAATTTGTTAATTTAGTATCTGGTTCATCATATGTCTTTTTTTCATATTTGGTTACTTTTTTATGATGTGGTTCTCTTGTTGATTTTGTAGATTTTTTTTTACAAATAATATAATTGCTAGAAGACAGATTTTTTTTTTCTCCCTTAAAACTATTTCTGAAGAAATGTTGGTAAATCATTTTCAAGGAGATACATGCCAATATCTCTAGATTTTCTTAGCAACATTTCGTTGGTTGGTCATATTATGAGAGGATGTTCTATTTATTTTATCTCTGAAATAACTGTGTGTATTCTATAGATTTCTTTAGTTATCTTAATTTCATCTACACTGCACTCTTTGGTAGTCAAATTGAGTTGGTAATTTCATTTTCTAAATGCTTTTGCAGGCCAAAATTCTATATAAGGATGTTCCTTTCTCCAAAGATGAACGTGAAACTATTAAGTTGAAGATCCAGAGCAATGTGTACGGATATCTTGGTATAATTCTTGAAGGCCGTGAGCGATTTGAGGAGGAAAGTTTGGCTGAAATAAGGAGAAAACAGTCTGATGAAGTTGACCCTGCAGGTAGGAATTATTATTGATTCTTGTCTCATTATCTATTTAAGGCATTAGACAAAGTTGCTATTCAGGTGCTTGCTAGCTACCTTGAACAGAGATTTTGAATCCTATGACTTGGTCTTTTTACATTTAGCATTCACTGTCTGTCTAATGCACAATTAGTGGTTTGATGGTTAAGAGTATTGGGTCTAAGCCTTGGGGCAAGTGTGGGTGCCCTCCGGATCAGTGGGAGTGGGGCCCTGTATTGGGTTATTGGAAAAAAGATTTATCTTGAGCCTGGAGACAAGGATATGAAATTTTCTTACAACTTAAGCCATCAAAAGGTCTAAGCTATTTATTTATCTATCTATATGTGGGTGTACATATGGATGTTATTGCTTTTAGTTAGTTGATTTACTCGACAATGCTAGATTTAGATCTCCAGATGATTTGTGCCTTGATCTGTTTATGTGCCTTATACCATGCTAAACTGTTTGAGGACTGGAGGTGAAGTGGTTAGTTGTTTACACTGTAGTGTTCGCTTAGCTCCTGTATTTGTTGTGGCTGGGTAATGTAATAGACTGTTAGACTTTGCTGGTGTTTGTGGTTTGTCAGCATTAATATTATAATATAAAATGCTAGACTTGTATTTAAATTGGGAAATGAATTTTTGGTTAAAAGCAGGGAGCTCGATTGTTGATTCTAACAAATGCCTGTATTCAATCGGGCCAAGATTGAAAGCATTCTCCGATTGGCTTCTAAAGACTATGGTATTAGGAACTTTGGAGACTATCTTTCCTGCAGCTACTCGAGAATATGCACCATTAGTTGAAGAGTTGTGGAATGATGCTGCCATTCAGGCTACCTACAAACGACGAAGTGAGTTGGAAATGCTGCCGAATGTTGCTCATTATTTCCTAGAAAGAGTAAGATCTTATGGTATTTTCCTTGTTAAATTTTGTTTAATCATCTTTTATGTTCCATTAATTTTTGTATATTGGTTTACTTATATTCTCCAGGTTGTAGACATATTGACTACCGATTATGAACCTTCCGATTCAGATATTCTGTATGCAGAGGGTCTCATTTCATCCAATGGACTTGCTTCTGTGGACTTCTCATTTCCACAATCTGCACCTAATGATGATATAGACACTACTGTGGATCAGCATAACTCTTTGTTTAGGTGAGTGATAATTCTTATTAGAGGTTTATCTGTTTATTTATCTTTCTCTGAGTATGAGTGCCTTTCGCTTTGGCATGCGCCATTCCTTCACTTGTTTATACTCAATTGCCTTCATTATAATAAAATTCACAAGTCATAGGTCTCCCTATTTAAGTGACTCTTTGTACCGTCTAAAACAAGGTGGCTCTTTGTATCTAAATCAGCACTGTACTTTGAAGAAATATGAAAAATGAGATTATTCTATGCATAACTGTGGTTTGCGTTGATATCCATTTTGAGTTAGAGTTACCAATTCAATCATTGTTGATCGTGCTCATTTTGATTGGTTTATTAGGCATCAACTTATTAGAGCCCATGCAAGAGGAATTGGTGAAAATTGCAAGTGGCTCGAGATGTTTGAGGACATTGGGATTGTTATCTTTTGTGTCTCTCTGAGCGACTATGATCAGTTTTCCATTGATGGAAATGGAGATTCTGTGAATAAGATGTTACTCAGCAGAAAATTCTTTGAAAGCTTGGTTACTCATCCAACCTTCGATCAGATGAACTTCCTTGTATTACTGAACAAATACGACCTGTTTGAAGAGAAAATTGAACGGGTGCCATTAACTCGATGCGAATGGTTCGACGATTTCCATCCATTGATCAGCCGCAACCGTTCTAACAGCCAGAACAATATAAATAGCAGTCCCTCACTTGGGCAACTTGGTTTCCACTACATTGCAGTAAAATTCAAGAGACTCTTTACCTCATTGACTGGGCGAAAGTTGTATGTTTCACCTGTGAAGGGTTTAGAGCCTCGTAGTGTTGATGCAGCTCTTAAATATTCAAGGGAGATAATGAAGTGGGACGAAGAAAGAACCAACTTCAGCTTGAGCGAGTACTCGGTATACAGCACGTACGAAAGCTCGTTTTCTCACTAATGCTCTTTAGATCAGGAGGGGTGTCTTGTAGAGTGGGTACAAATGCTATACCAATACTAAATTTATGCCGTTGTACATATGATAGGTTTGTAAATGAACAAGATAAGCCTGTTCCTTCCACACAAGCAATTGCAGGTGTAAGTTTGCAAAATACCATTTTGGTAGTAGTGGCAGAGAATTATTCAATTTTCTATATTATATTGAGCTTATTTTGGTGTAGGTTTTAGTAACTTCCTTCTATGTTATTGTAACTTATTGTAACTTTTCTTATTAGAACATCCACTCCCTTCGAGACTCAACATCTTGGTTGGCACACCGCATTATGTCTACTCCTTTCGGAGTTCAATCTCCTCACTAGCACATCGCTCGGTGTCTGACTCTGATATTATTTGTAATGGTAACGGTGGATTTGGACTTCAATATCTGCTAATGACGGGCTTAGGCTAAACCATTTTAGAGTTGATATCTGCTAGTTCTAAATAAATAGTACTGGTTCAAAATAGATCCAAAATCATTTTACAGCCAAATTATACATGAAGAAACCAAGGGGGAGATTCAGATTCAAGATGCAAGATACAAGTCATCATCCCTCCTACACCATTTCTGCCTATTTTTCATGTTGAATTCCTTCCCGACTGCGGGTGATTTTCACGTTCAATTCTCCACAAATATTATCCGAACCGAGAACAAACTCAAATGTACATATGTCATCTACTCTCAAACTATGCGCCCTGAAGAAAATCGGCCATCCTGTGGTCAAGGCAAACCGACTACGACTAATTGGTTTCGCTGTGACTAGCCACGACCTGCCCTTTTCGTCTACAATAACCACATCTGGTTTCAGCAATATGTTATGTGCAACCATCACTCGTTTAGGAATATGCTGCCATCATAATCCATTCATTAATAACACCAAATTTGTGAAACTTGCAAAGAAGAGAAATACTACACAAAATTGCAATAAACCTATCAGATCAATAAACTTACAATGGCATTATGTGACCAATGCTTAACTAAAAGCTCGAAGGTCGGCGGTTCCATCGAAACGTGATTTGCAGTCTTAGAAGGGCTAAGTTCTTCAAGATTTGTTGTTGATATCTTCCTTGATTTAGGGGCAGTGCCTGAACAATCACTGGATCTAACTTCTGAATCATTCCTTTTGCAACGAGTTAACGATGTACTGTATTCTTCTTCAGATCGGGGCTCATCTTTGACCTTCACTTCCAGGATAAGACTACTGGTTCCTGATATCAGCTCCTTCTTGCATCCATTTTTGCTAAATATCTTGACATCAAACGTGGAATTCCCATCATATTGGAAAACTAAAAAGTCCCCATATTTTAAGCAGTGGCTGTCAACAAATTCTTGCCAGCCGTTCTTAAGAAACACACTGTTCTTCAGTTCTTCCAAGGTTACATGCCATGATTGTCCACTTTGATCTTTGAGGACAGCTTCACTTGGTATGGATCCTCTAAAATACTTTACAAAAGCAGGTGGTATACTCTACAATTCAAGATCATGAACAAAACGTAGACGAATTGGTTACTTTAAGGATGAATATATCCATACATAACCTGTAATGCAAAACTTTTCCATTATGTTATTAGAGCACTTTCACTACGAAAAACAGAAGAACAGAGTATCCGATAGGATCGAAAATAGCGAAAAGATACCCTCGCCAAAACAGGAATTCAGCTATATACCCAAACCTCCATGGCCCTCTTTCCAGTGATCTCTCTCCCTCTTCAATGAGGATATCGTTGGTCGACGCTGCATTGCTCATTGTGGCTGAGCAGAGGCCAAAATCACGTCACTGCCTCGTAGGTCTTGTCGGGTTTCCTTCCTCTTGATCATCCCCATCATCGTGTTCTTTGTATCTCCCTCAACTTTCATGCAATCGTTCACTCAAAACTGTTATCCTCGACCCTCGTTGACAATTGTGGCTTCACACAACATTGTTCATCACACCAGTAGGTTTCTCAATCCCCCACTGGAAACACTATTTCCAGTTCGACATACATTTTTCTTTCTTACTCCTCACAGGTTTTTCACTCTCTTTCACTCCCGGATTTTTCCCTCTATAACAGAACTTCGTGTCGCTTATGTGCACTGATTTTCCGTATTGTCATTCCTCCCACTGATCGTCAAGTCGGACCGGTAGCATTGAGTTGTTAAATTAAACCATAAAGACAACTTTGAGTCAAGAATTCTTTAGGTGAAAGAAATTGATAGTACCTACTAAACTTGTCTTGAGTGCTGGGTCGAAGTTCTGTAGGCCAAAAAGAAATTTTATCTTATGGTTGGAATTTCATTCCGAACGACCTAATGGATGACCAGATAGTTGGGTTTGACACATATAGTTTGCTGTGATTTCATGTTCGATTATGTGATGAATGTGATGGTCGTGCATATGTATTTATTATGTAATTTGGATAGTCAGTTAGGGGATCTCATGCATCTGCATGGGGGAGACTCAGCTCTACTGACTGGAATGTTTTGTTTTCCTCTCCAACCTACGTGGGGTCTCACAATAACCTCTCCTTAGCAAACGCGTTTTAAAATCTTGAGGGAAAGCCCAGAAGGTAAAGTCCAAGGAGGACAATATCTGCTAGTCGTGGGACCTTTTATACGACTCTGAGAAGTTGGATCATTACATTTCAGAAAGCCTAAAGCTAATTCTCTCAACTGCAACAAACCAAGAGGAAAAGTTGAGCATTTAAGGGAATAAGAAAGGAGAAAGATAATGAGAAGCATTGATAAGAGAAACAAAACTAAAATGAACTCAACCATGGCCCACACTGACAGAAGCTACAAACTTTCCTCTTCACAAACAACGACCATTTTAACATGCAATCCATCGATGAGGCCCTTACTCCTTTAGCATCATCCTCTCTTTTCTCAGTAACTTCAAATCTTAAACTCACACCATCAAAACCTTTCAACATTATCAGATTCTGTTGTTTTCTGCTAAAATCTACACAAAAATGGTAAAGGGTTTCCTGTTCTACACTTGTCTATTAGCTTTTCCACAAGAACAGAAGAGCACTTGTTCAATATCTCTATGAACAAACAGAAAAAACACAGAAATTGAAAAGTAAAGAGAGAGTAGAGAGTATACCATACGGAGAGAACTGGAATTGGGAAGAAAAACCTTGAAGAACTCAAGGCTGGAAGGGATTCTGCTGCTTGGATCCCTCAGCTCCACTAAACTTTTGGCCATCCCCAACGAAAAACCCTTAAACCCAAATCAAAAAACAGGAGTTTTGGTTTGATTGTCGGAACCCCAGATATGAAGTTGCAAGAACAGCGCAGTTTTGGTCAGTGGGCCATTTTGATTTTGTGAATAGAAGGCAATTGACTGTTTCACTCCCGCCCACATTCCCAGAAGGGTTACTTAAGTATTCCTCTGTTTTGTTAGACAACTTAAAGTGAGCTTCGTAAACAGACCCTTTAAAGGAAACTCTATGGAAACTCAAACAAGAAATGAAAAGGGTATTAAAACAAGAAATTTGGAAACAATCTTTAAGCTTGGTTTGATGATATGCTTTATTCACTTACCCACCTAACAAAGATTCTTTAAGACTGCGTATCCAAGAGATATATATTACATAAACCTGATCCTGTCATTTTGTAACGTTTTTATATTTTTTTAAAAAGTTTGTTATTATTTAATCGGTTAAATTAGAGAGAAAAAGGAAAATTTACGTTACCTTTCATAATTTTTATTTTGTTTTCCACTTTGTTACCTTTCATCATTTTTATTTTGTTTTCCACTTTCATAATGATTTACTTTATCTGTTTTCTTACGTGAAATTCTACGTTGGTTGAAGAGAAGAACAAAACATTCCTTATAAAGATGTGAAAACCTCTCTTCAGCAGACGCGTTGTAAAACTGTGAGGCTGACAATAACATGTAACGAGTCTCTTCAGCAGACGCGTTGTAAAACTGTGAGGCTGACAATAACATGTAACGAGTTAAAATAGACAAATATTTACTAGCAGTGGGCTTGACTGTTACAAATGGTATCAGGATCAGACACCAGACGATGTGACAACGAGAACGCTGATCCCCCTCGTGAGATCTCATATCGATTGGGGAGAAACAAACCATTTTTTATAAAGGTGTGGAAACCTCTACCTAGCGACACATTTTAAAACCGTGAGAATAACAGCGAAACGTAACGGACCAAACCAGACAATATATACTAACAAACGACTTGGCTCTTACCATCTTAGTCAGCAAAATATTCTGGAACCCATCATTTGAAATATACTGTGAACATCCACAATTATTGTAATCCTTGTTGGAAGAAGTTCTAGCATTATTGTTCTGTTCTTCATCCAATGGTGACTTGCTCTTTCTTTTGATGGTTTAACATAAAATTATGAACATTAAATAATCAAGATTTTGTCACCTACCAAAGAGTGCTATAGTCACTCCAAAATCATGTCCTGGACTATTGTTGTAGCTATTTCTAATGACCAACAATTTTGTAATTCTATAACTTAATTCATGAGGCGCAGAACGCATCGATTATTAACTCAAAATGAATACAAAAACGACATTGCAATTTGCAAGGATGGCAAGGATTTAAACTTGGGATCTCATGTTGTATACTAAATCACCATCAAATTTCACAATGGTTAGATCGGTCACAAAAGAGAGAAGGATTTGTACAATGAAAGTATGGTTCTGCTGTATGCATTGTTCAACGAAGAGAACGACGGCGGTGAGTAACTTTGACATTCAATTGTCTGCATAAGTTACCCTTTTCGAGAACAAACTCAAATTCACATTTGTCATTTACTCTCAACCCATTGCCCTTGTAAAATGCAGACCACCCAGCATTAACAACAAGACGGTTCTGGCTGATGGAACACACTTTTGCTGGCCACAACTTCCCCTCTTCATCTCTAAGAACTGTGTTTGGCTTCAACTTGATGTTCTGGTCCCTCACCACCCGTCCAGAAAGATACTGCAATTCAATTCAAAACCACTGTAACTTTCAGACAAGACAAGCCTTGCGTTGCCTGTAATCTCAATACTAGCACATTTGTAGACTATGTTTTCAAAATAGAATCTAACTTATCAGCTTTAACTTTCAAGTTTAGTAGTTATTTTTCGTCTGAAATCGGAGACCTTTGTTAAATCCTTGTAGTGTCATTTACTCATTATTTCTATATGGATAGCACATGTTGGGCCTCGTGGATAGAATTGAAGTTGGAAGTTATACAAAGGTCACATTAAAAACAAAGTATGAGAAACTCAACACTCAATGCAACATCCAATCCATTTTCACCTATGACAGGGATACTAGCATCTGCTTACTAAATAATGATACATAAAGAAGAATTAAGCTTTTTCAAGTGGGCTTCATATATTCTTAGATGATTACAAATTTATGATAGATAATTGAAAACTAGATTTATGATGTTTCATTAATGTATTTTAAGCAATCTTACTTTCACTTGGGTAATTCCTTCTCACTTAGCATGATTCTCTACTGTAACAATATTACTATAATCAAAAGTCCTTGACAAGAAAAGAAGTTTGGAGAGTAATACTCACAACTTTCTTGTGCGACCAGTGTTTCATCGTTCGCTCAAAGGAAGGTCCTTTAGGGGCAACATACTCTACAGTGTTCGGGGCATTACCAGGTCTCCCACGAGTTGGAACCCTTCTTGGTTTGTGAACTATCCCTACAAGCACAGTTGAGAGGTTTCTAAATCAGACCAAGTTGTCATATATGAAAGAAGGGATTGAAAAAATAAATGTCATCTCCAAACCTCATCATATCTTGATTCATGTGTTTTATTTTTTACTTTTGTAAGAGGAACAGAACTTGTCTCACGACCATATTGCATAACAGTTTCATTAAAGTTTTGAAAAGTGAGAAACATAACAAAAGAAACTTTATTTGTTTTTCAAATTTTGGATATAACTTTGTTACGTGTTTCAAAAAATGAGAAACTAGATAAAGAAGACATGACCAAAAGCACTTGTTTTCTCAAAACAGAAAAATATAAACATGTAATAGGAAGAAACCAAAACACTACAAACCAGGCTCTAAGTTGAGTGGGGCAAACCGAGAAGTACTCACCTGATCCAACTTGTAATCGTTTCCTCTTGCCAGAAATTAAAGGCTTGACCTCTTCTTTCTCATCCACAGCCTCTACTTTGACCTTCAAAATTGGAAGAGACTTACCGGCTATTGCTAACGTTGAATCTAAAATTGGAACAGAATTATCGGCTTCTGCAGCCACTGCCTTCTTGCATCCATTTTTACCAAATATTTTGACATCAAACGTAAAACCCCCATCATATCGAAATACTAAAAAGTCTCCATACTTCAAACAATGGTAATCCACAAAAGCCTGCCAGCCATTCTTGAAATACACAAGCTCATCCACTTTTTCCAATGTAACGCACCATGATTTTCCTGTATGATCTCTGATGGTAGCTTTTATTGGAAAGGTTCCATGTAAATGCTTCTGAAAAGCTGGTGGTATGCTCTGAATATAAGAGATGAGGAATGAGTGCAAACAGATGACAAAACAAAGCAAAACAAATCACTTCACACACACACAACATATCGTTCATGTTATTTATTTAATATTAGCTTGTTTTTAAAACTAATCAACGCCTTTATACTTTAGGATAATCAAACATTTATATCAGCATATGAGTTTTTTTTTTCTTCTTCTTCTGATCCACAAAGATCAAAACCCTTCCCACAAAAATATAATCAATGAGTTATGTAATGTCTAAAATTTTCTACAATTTCAATATGTGATTAGGAATAAAAAAAAATCGACATGTTGACCCAGTATGACTAGAATTAAATGGTTGACTCAAGCATAAAGAACAGAGAGAAGAATTAAATAATAAGTAAAGTTTCATACTATATTGCATGCATGTTCAATGCAGAATTCAAAAAAGGTCAACGACTCAAAATAGAGCAATCCCAAGTGTTCTTTTCCCCAATTTACAATAAGAAACAGGGTAATTTGTCCAAATCCCATGAATCAACCAAATAATGAAAAAAAAAGGCACCGAAAATTTCTCGCACTCAAGTTCCACACAACTCAAATTGGCTCGAAATCTCAGCGTTCCCTAAATACAAACTCAAAATCGTAAGAACATCAGGACGAAGGAAAATAAAGAGGGAAAAATTGGAGCCCCAGAAATTTTGAAGTTAGGGCACAATACATATGATTAACTAGAGGAAATACAGAGAGGAGAAAGAATTACCATGTGCAGAGAGCCGGAATCGGGAAGAAACACCTTGAAGAACTCAAGGCTATAAGCGGTTTCGGTGCTGGGGTTCATTATTCTCGCGCAAAGAATAACGAACCTGCAAAGAAAGCTTGAAATCAATGTCGAATCCGACAAAAAAAAAAAAACGAAGAATAGAGGAGCGATTTTGACACTGAATCTGCAAAAGAAAGCTTGAAATCATTAGATGAAGAAGAACGGAATAAAGAGTAAAATAAATTTGGTACTTCGAGCGTTAGATGGATACGTGACACCACATGCATGCAAGTTCCGGCTTGCTGTGGGTGTGGCGAATTTTTATAGGGTTTCGGGACATATATATAATTATATATATATTATATATTTTTTCAAATTACATATATACTTTTTGAATTATGAAATCTTCCCGCTATTGTTATAAAAAATAAAAAAATAAAAAAAAAACCGTCACAATTATTTTATATAGAGAATTTATTTTGAATTTGAGTTAGAAAATTTTAAAAGTTGGATTAAGCTTGTGTAAAAGAAAAAAATACAAATTTAATCTTTGAACTATGAAATTTTTGTCTAGTCCGAAAGAAAATCAACATCTTCAAAAGGTCGTCATATTCATAAAGTATTGGATGTTGATGTCCGTGAATAAGACCTAAAAAGTTCGAATCTTGTTCAACTCAAAGCCTACCTTCTAAATTTCTAAGACCATTTTAAGAGAATCCTAAACAAAAAATACAAACCATTGATATTACATTCTATCTAGTCCATTGAAGCAGAGCTGGAAACATGCTTGAAAATGGTGACTTTAAAAACACAGTTTTTTGTGTCCACCATCTCAAACAAGCATGAATCTCCATCTTCCAAGCCATTGTCTCCATAAAATAAGCACCACCCAGCTGATAATCTGACAGAGCTACCATATTGTCTCAATGCCACAATCCATTGTCTATTCCCAACTTGAAGCTTTGCAGAGAGCATGTCGGTTGAAAAATGCGCCTTTGCAAATACCATAGGAATGTTCTGCCAATCAACAACATAAAATGGTTTCAGCTCCTTCCATGAACAACATGTTTTGAACTGAAAATAAAAACATGGGGTTTTGTTTTTTTGTTAGTTACCAGAACAAATTTCTTGTGGCGTCTGTTCAGAATGTTCGCCTTAAAACAGGGGTTTCTGGTCTTTGTTGGAGGGGAAGCAAAGGGGGGGGTGTCTTGTAATTTGGTGAATGAAAATATGTCTTTCTTAATCAATTGAAACAACCCAACATCCCCTTCTTTCAACACATTTTCCTCTACAAAACGCTTCCACCCGCTTGAAAAGTACACAAAGTTCTCTTGATTTCGTCTGCGTTTGTACAAAAGTGGCCACTTTCTACCGTTTGGGGTTCGGAGTTTGATGATTCCGAAGTCATCAGGTAAGTGTTTCTCTGCAAAATCTTTGGGAATAATCTACAAGAACCAAAAAGCTTCAATCTTTTCAGCTGAATCGAAGAAAGGAGGTGTTTTTTTATGTGGGTTTGAAGAAGAAAGTGCTTACCATGGCAAATTTTCCTCGTACGTTTGGTTGTTTCATGACAATTTTAAAGCTAGGCTTGTCTGATTTTGAGGTTAATCTTTGAGCTGCTTCAGGTTTGTTCACAAATTGTTGCCTTCTACTTGATACCCCTGCTTCAGTTTTTGGCATGTTCTTCATGATTAGGCATCCTTCTGCATAGATTGGCCATTAACAACACTTATTTGAACCTGTAAGCTCTATATACTCAAAATGTTCATACCTTCTTCAGGTTTCATTTTCTTACGAGATTGAGGAGGAGATGGAACTGAAGCATTGTTCTTCCTCTTACTTAAACGCTGGGGGGAACTCTCTGTATTTTCATCAGAATCTTCATCTTCCATTGTAAATTCTGCTCTAGAATCGTGAAGAATGCAACAATATTCTGTTTCTACTCCACTTGGGTCGAATATGGATGTTTGAAAAGTTGAAAACCCATCTGATTTAAATACCAATAAAGAACCAAACTCTAAGCTATAATGCTCTGCAAATTTGTGCCACCCATTTTGCAGCCAAACAACGCCGTTGGGAGCCGTCGTCAAACCGACCTTCCATTCCATGCCGTCCGGGAGCTTGAGACGTACGGAAGTGGACAAAAGTTCGCCATAATCTTTCACGAACTTCTTCGGAATCATCTGGAAAACAAGATTGGTGAAAAAAAATTAAAAAAAAAAAACAAAAAAAGGGTTTCTTTTTACTAGTTTTCGGTCTTCGAGATTGTTGTGTAAAACGATTCTGAAGAACTGAGGAGAGGAAGCCGCCATTGATGGAGGAAGGTGGTGCAGAGAGTGAAAATGGGGAAGACGATGATGGTGTAAAGTGGCGGTGGGAGTTCAGATACGTATCGAAGTTGCGATTTCCGAAGAATATTATGGTTATGGTTGATGGAGACTTTTGGACTTCCCTCTTCCTCTTCCTCACCGTCCTTTCGTTCACCCATTTCTGCCACCATTTTCCATTTTCCAAGCAATGAATCGGGCCCAGAGCTCCTCAGTCCCTGAGATGGATCAACGCTTACAACTTTTGTCCAACCTAATTCAGGCCCATCGTGTTTTTTCCGCATCCAAATCTTAGTGTTACGTAATCAATGAGTTTTAGTACTTACGAGAGTTTTTAATTATATGTGTTGGATGGGACGCTAACTAATTTATGAAATGATTATCGGTTTATAATCAAATAATACTCTCTTCATGTATATGAGGTCTTTTGGGGAAGCCCAAAGCAAAGTCACGAGCATTTATGCTCAAAGTGGACAATATCATACCATTGTGGAGAGTCGTGTTCATCTAACATGGTATCAAAGTCATGCCTTAAACTTAGTCGTGCCACAATAGATTGGTAAATCCTCAAATGTCAAACAAATGACTCCAAAAAAAAAAGGAGTCAGAGCCTCCTCAGTCGAAAATGAAGAAGACTACTTGACAATATTATATCATTATAGAGATTCGTGTGGGTTCATCTAACAACCTCTACAAAGATTAAAAATCTAGGGTAGAGTCGAGGATAATCAATAATGATGGTAGGCACTCTTTGGTACATCTGGTGTGCCTTTATGAATGCTCATTTGGCGTGTGATGATGGAATCATATATAGTTGCATGTCAACTTCATTATTGCCCTTTATCATGAATATAAAAAATTATGTCAATCATTTTCACTTTCATTCACATTAATAAATCATTTCCTCCTTTTAAACATTATCATATTTATTATTTAAAATCATACAACCTACAGCAAATGGAGAATTAAATTTGTTTTTAATGGAGACATTTTTTTTTTTTTTTTTGGTTATTTATACATGTTGGGTGCATTGACTCCAGCTCAATTTTGATCTTCAAATCTTATATATATTTATGAGATTGTTTAATGCTCATTATCTTATCCAAAACCTGTCCTAATATTTTGTTTTAGGTTGCAAAATAAAATTAAAATAAGAATTAATGTGAGAAGCGTGCAACTTATACAAGTAGCTATTTTAATATTTTATTGAAGATATTAGGTCAAAGTCAACGTCTTAATACTTCTAACATACATATAAACCAACCAACAAAATTAAGTCAATAAACCTTAAGATTGACATATCAGTAAATCATACCCAAAGTCAAATAACACTAAACCACCGCAACTAACACTACCAAATTCATGTTTTTCTATTGAGAGGATAAAACCAAAATAACTTTATATTAAAAAAGTTAAATTTAATTGTTTATTTATGAAGTTTGATCACAATTATCTTCACCTTGAATATTGATCCCTCTAAGTGTTCTAGCATAAAGAAATAGAACAGATAGAAAAACGACTCGAGGGTTAGTTCAAACACGTATTTACATTACTCTCAAGTTGAGTTTAACGACTAAAAATATGAGCCAAGTTGGAAGAAAGAAAATGGGAAATGTTGCTGAGAATAATAAGCTTAATACAGCAGCCATAATTCTAAGCTACACTTCTTTTACACAGAATCAAGAATTTGAGCCTCTATGGAGCTATGTACCAGCAAGATCAAGCTGCCATGGCTGCTCGCTCGAGAGCAAACTATTTTTTCCAGAGCCCAATCTTGCAATAAACTCGAAACCAGAACAAACCCAGTTAAAAATAAGTATGAATAAACAAATTCATCAGCATGTTCTTGAGAGCCGCAAGTGAAGTTCGATTCGACGCATCAGAGAAGCGTGGGAAGATAATGCACCATCCTCCATTTTCGTGTATTTCTCCCTTCTTGTCCAAATGACATAATCTTGAAGCTGTACCTATGCCGTCAATGGCTCTGCTTCTTTGGTTATTATACCTCTGATTCTTCTTGAACAGTTGGAAGAGTACCCTCTTTGATAAAGGTTGGATTAAGAAACTTAGCAACAAAAGCCCATAATCTGTAGACATCTTCGAAATTGGTCAAAAATCCCAGAGAAGCTGTCACGACTTCGACACACACGAACCCGCCCTTTTCACCAAGCTTGCCATTTGCCATTGGTCTGCAGAGGGTAGTATCTTCTAGGTTCAAACTGGTTTTTTTGTGCCTTGGATTGTCGACTACGCGTATGTGACTAAGGAAACCGATTCCTAGAGATATACCTTCTTTTTCAGCCAGCTTCTGTACAATTTCTGGGTTGATTAGCCCCCTAACTTTGTCTCTCACGTTGAATGCCACGGCAGCACCCCTTTCGTATTTTATTTTCGGACCATAGATTTGAACAAGATTTGCTCTGCTACTTCCATCTGAATCAGGTAGCCGAAGTTGTAGCAGCGACGTGACAAGCCAATTGATCAGAAATCTTAGTCTGAGAGTGGTCTTATTGAGACCCAACAAGTCGATATGATCAATATGACGGCATACTATCTCGGGTTCTCTCCTGGCCCACTCTTGCCCATCGCCATATTCGCCATCACTGGTACCTTCATCGTCATCGAAGCTAGTAACAGAGGTTTCACCTGGCTCCATATTACAGCTCTGGTGCTCTTTACCATTTTCTTCAATGCCAAAAGAGACTCTTCTTCCCCTGTTCTGCACTTCAGATAATCTATCCCCTCGGCGTCCCAACAACCTAAATTCACCTTCGGTTTCCCGTCTTATCGCACTCTCCTTAATCTCTGGGCAGATCTCAGAAGTCAGACCATTCTCTAGGTTATGATGGTGTGAGCTAGAATTTGAATTGCCAAGACGAGATCTGACATCACAACTTGACATACCATTCGAAAGTGATTTGCTAGTTTCATCTACCTCCAACACGTCTGTACGTTCTGAACTCTTTTTACCGCTCTGTGAGGCAGGGCTCGTTACTGAATCGAGCTCTTGAGAAACTGACATGACAGCAGCATCAAATGACAGAATATTTATTTCATCAGCTGGCCTTGAATTTACTTCTTTGTCATTATAAAGCGGGCTGCTGTAAATTTTTGAAGTTGGTTTGGGTGATTGTCTCCTATTCTTTCGATATGCAAACCAATATGGGGGCAATGGGGAGGCGATTTCGTGTTTGTTGAAGCCAGCATTATCAGACCCAAGTGGACTGTGACCTAAATCTATCCACAACGAGTTATCAGATGACTCGTCTTCACTGAATATCGGGCTCTTCATCACCTCTCCGACAGAGAAACTCTCTGTTTCCTCAAATATAGTGCTCGTACCATCTCTTTCAGAACTTTCATGATCCATCTCAGTTTCGAATACATCTCTAACCTGAGAAGATGTAAATGCGCCCGAGAAAGCAGGCAACTGAGATCTTTGCCGTGATTCAGAGGCTTTATCGACATTCTCAGAGACTCCATCATCTTCAATCCCAGCAAATCCATCAATACCATCAATTGAATCACTCAGGTACATAGGATATTCAGGAGTTATCTTCACAATTCCTGACCCTGTACTCCCAGAACGATTCTGTAAACTTGCCATTACGGATTTCTTGATTAGTAGACATCCGAAACCAGTAGGATCAAACCCGAAAACTCTGTAGAACGATGTAACAATAAAATCTGGCCGGAAAAGGGACAGTCCAAGCGAATCCATGTCTTTCGGACCCAAAGATCCAGCATCAAGCAGAACATGCCAGTTGTTCTGTTGTGCTAGAGCCATCCATTGATACGAGTACTTCGCCCCCGTCACTCTAGATTGAACCGGAAACACGAAAAGACCAGTAGCAGAGTCCTTCTTACTCCTCTTATTTGAAATTTGTTTTCTCAAATCAGTGGAGCAGAGTTTCAGGGATGGCCATTTGAACCAGGCGCTATAAACTTTTGCACCTTTCTCTCTAGCACACTGAGCCATCCAATTCACAGATTCGCTCTCATAATCAAACATGGTCAACAATTTCTTGTTCGTATGAAAAGGATATGAATCAGCAAGCAATTTAAAAGCTGACCCTCTACTCACAGTAAACACAAGCCCATATTCATGCTCAGGAATGTTCAAATAGTCCATGATCTTGACCTTAATATCATGTTCAACCGTCCCTTTTTCAGCACATCCGTAAAGAGCATGGTTACTCAAATTTGCTGTAATCTCAGACAAGCTAAATGTGGAGGACTCCCAATAGTGCAGTGTTTGAACATAAGAAAAAAGTCCGAAGCCACAGTAATCGAGGCATACCTTTGAAGAAAGATGCGAGTACTCGTTGTACCTCAGCTGATCAATCTTCTCCGAGGACTGGAAATTCGGATACATCATAAGGAACTTGGAGAAAGATTCATGGAGGTCAGGAATGTCGTCTTCAGACTCGAAAGTGCGCTCGGCGGCGAGTGCAGTGGCGCGTAGAAATTCTCGCTGTGCGTGGAGTCTGGCGAGCGAACGGGACTTGCCCAAGCCGCCGCCGCCGCCGTCCTGGTCGCCGATTGAGTCGGATTCGTCAACATCTTGCGATTTGAAGAGAGACCCATTTTCAGATGCTTCTTCAAGAGCTTCCCTAAGCTTGTCCTCTTGCAGTTTTCGAAGAATTGATAAGTTTTTCTTGGACTCATGTCCAGTGGCAGACCCATCTCTTCTTCGGCTCTTCTTGTCCATTAATAGAGCAGCAGCGCAATGTGACAGAATTTTCCATGGTGAAAGATGCATTTAAGCTGGTTTTCAAAAGGAAACCCAGAGAGATTAAGAATCAAAATCTTGGATCAGAAATAACAGCAATGGGGGGTGGGGGTCTAGCCCATCAAACTTAAAAAGATTTGGGAAAAGAATCGTTCAGCTTCGAACCCTAGACCCCCAAAAGGCAATCAGAAAGGATCTTGAAACAGATCAGAGAAACCCCATTTCAAAAATACCTTACAGGACAATTCGATTAGAAATTCAAAACCCCAGCTCTTACGAATTCAAATAAGCCATCGGACACAAATAGTTCATCGAATGTCAGAAAATGAACTGCTAATTGACATTCTATTCTCTACATAAAAGTCAAGACAAAGACCAGAAATACCGAGGCGAGTCCCGCACAGAAACATTCGAAAAGGGTCAAAACCTAAAAACCCAGAATCCAGATCCTTTAATTTATACACAAAAAAGGCATTTCACAGACGAAATATCACCGGTAATCAGAACAGAAATTCACAAGAAAACACCAAATAACCAGCAATAGTTCTTGGGTCAATCTTCGATTTCAGTAGCAGATTGAACCAGAAAAATACGAGCGATTCTTGGCAAGAAATACTCTCCCATCAGAGCAAAAGAAGCGAAATGAAGACAACTGCTCTCTGTCTGACCTGATTCTTAAATCTTCTACGCTACCTCTCTCTTAGCAAACAGTAAGAAAGGACAATTTTGACTTTGATAAACAAAAGGGGTTTGATGATATTATAAAATATATTTATTTATAATCTTCCAACTCGATATTCTTCAATCTGCCTCTGAAAGGCCCTTTCACTAACCCAAATCCAAAAAGTCAACTTTTTTAGGCTGTTTCCCAAGTCCAACATCTTCTTCCCAACAAATCTCCATTTTAACTTCTTCCATTTTTTTTTTAATATTCCCATCTTCCTTTGCTTCCAGCTTTTTAAAATTTCTTTTTCTTAGTGGAAGGGAAGATTCCCATTTCCGTTTATTGCTTAATCATATGATTAGACTTCAATTAGTTATCATATTCAACTTTAATGTTATATTTCATGATTATGAGATTTGAATTATTTTTCAAACTCGATTTAAAAATTATCACATATTTACTTTTCAGGTTCACTACTTTCAAACCATACATATACATAGGAGCTTTAACTGGTTTTCATGAGCTTTTTGAACTTGGAATTCTTCCCATTTTTTTAAACAAATTTGTTTCTCCGTGGAAATTTCTTTCTCTTTTGAAAATATATTTTAATTAAAAGAAGCTATATACACAATTTAATTTAATGCTTATTTAGGAAAATAAAATGTTATTTATATTTTTGTGATTTATGATAATACTTTACACATGCTTTTAAAATTACTTTTTGTTTTTTTTGGAATATAATTACGAATTCAAATGTTTATTTAATAAATATGAAAAACTATTGTAATTTAAGTTTATAAATAATTATTCATTTTGTTTCCCATAAACTTTTTTTATTTTTTATTTTATTTTATTTTATTTTATTTTATTTTTTATAGCATCACCACGGCCCGTTTTCCCCCTATCGTTCCTCCGTACAACATCTCTAGCTATAATAGAACCCGTGCCGGCACGCTCTCTCCGCTGCAGTCACCCGCCGGCACGCTTCCATCGGCGTAGCCCTACTATTTATTTCTGTTTCTTCTCCGCTGAACGGCACCGGCACACCGCCCCTTTTCTGTTGCAGCCGCACGAAAGCAAAAACCTATTAGACTAAAATGTGTAATTTAACCAACCTTGGCCTTTTATAATTGGCGGCACTTGTACGAAAGCAAATTGGGTATCCCCGCTGAATCAACGCGCGCCATTGTTCGCAGAACAAAAGCTTGCATCTTTCGTTTCTCCCGGAGCCCTTCACTCATCACAGGTAAGGTTCATACTTCTAATTTCCGTTTGACGCTACTTGAAATAGAAGATTCCAGCCCTTTCTTTACTTTCTCTAGACATTGAATCTGTATAGAGGCTGCTGTGACTTGGTAGCATAACTTCCTGGTGGAGATACTGAAGTTTCTGAGTAGCCATGGCCGATTTCCAGACCTCGACTCAACGAGCCAAATGGATCTTGAATCCTCACGAGCTGGTACTTTTCCTTTCCTTTTTCCCCACTGGCGGTTTGGGAAAAGATAGTTACTAGTACTTATTCTTGCTGGGTTCTGATCAAAAGAACTTCGAGTAATCTTAGAATCAAGTCTTTGAGATATTTATTTACAATTAGGCTGGTAGTCCTTTATCTCATTTGCGCCCTTTCAATTTCCACGATATGTAATCTCATTTGAGGATATTCCGTTTCTTTAGATTGTTTTATGAAGGAACTGAAGTTTCTTACTTCTACGGCACTTGTGCGAAGTGTATAATCATATTATCAATTGCTTTAGTTGGACGCATTAGTTTTTGGTTATTTGTTCTATGACAACTTTCGAGTGAACTTCATTCATAAATTTGATAGACGATTGTTGGCTTTTGAGGGGTTTCACTTGTATTTAGGACTTGAAGAAGAGTCAATTGTGTATCTAAAGTATGAACACGATTCATATGTTGTACAGGTTGGCAGGTACAAAGCTGCTAACCAGAGAGCCATCGAAGCTCTGGAGAAGGTATGAATAGAATGAGATGACACTTCAATCAGTTTTGTCTACTGTACTAATTTTTATTTTTATTTGAAAGAGCAGTTTTCTCATGCTTCATTTCTTCCCAAAACTCCAAATTGCTGACGGCAATTCCCTTCTTCACTTCATGTGTTTGCCCCCAACTAAAGAATTTGGCGTCTGCTTTTATGAGTTTTAATATTACTATCTCTGCCAGCTAACTATCCTCTTGGTCTAGTTTGGAGCAACACTGATGGTGGTAGATGCTGACGGATCATTGTCCTATCCAGACCCTCTGATAAATTCAAAAGAAAATGGTAACTACTCTTCTGCTGCCCTTTTGCAGGAGCTTAAAACTAAAACTCTAGCATTAAATCTTAATGTATAATTACCAACTCTTGGTATGATAGTTTATTTTAATGTCAGCTGACAAACATTCCCGCCCCAAACCTTTGAGTATTGAAGAAGAGCAATTTATGCGAGTATTTTACGAGAACAAACTTCAAGAAGTATGCAACAATTTTCATTTTCCTCATAAAATCCAGGTATTCAAATAAGATAAGCCGATTGAATGATCCATTTTTCTTTTCACATAAAAAGTCTAATATATTTCAAATATTGAAATTTTTGTTTATATAAATCCCACTTTTATGTTTTTCCTTAGTTTTGTTTACTCTTTGCAGGCAACGGCTCTTATATATTTTAAGAGATTCTACTTACAATGGTCTGTGATGCAACATAATCCCAAAAATGTAATGTAAGAGTTTAGATGCACATGTGCTCTATGCGTTTGAAGTTTCCCTTATTTAATGTGTTACAACTTGCTATTTGACTTTGCAAAAAATCATTTAGAGGTATGAATGTAATTAAAATGCTTAGCGCTAGAAAAATTGATTGGATGTTGGATGTCCATTTGTAAACACTTCGTCTTAGGAAGTGTTGCTTCTGCAAATTGTTTCTCTCTCATTGCCACTTATTATCATCATACAAACTGTAGCGTACTTTCGGGATGTAGCTAACCTTCTCCTGCCCAGGTTGACTTGCATTTATGCAGCTTGTAAGATAGAAGAAAATCATGTCTCAGCTGAGGAGCTTGGCAAGGGGATTTCACAGGATCATCAAATTATTCTCAATTATGAGATGATAGTTTATCAGGCATGGATGTGTCTCAGAACTTGTTCTTATCTTGCTCACTTCATTACTTTGTTTTCCCCCTCTATTCTCCCCACCATTTATATATATTTTCTCTTCTCTTATTTCTTTTTCTGTTTTCTAGAGTCTGGAATTTGATCTTATTGTTTATGCACCTTACCGATCAGTTGAAGGCTATGTACATGATATGGAGGTAAGTATGGTCTTATTTATTGATATTATTATTATTATGTGGATTTTCTAAGCAATGCTGAAACAAAATACATCTATTTTTTCTAGGGCATTCTTTACCTTCTTATAACGTTGGTTCAAATTTTCTGTCTTTCATTGTTGTTTCACTTGGTGATAAATGGTGCATGTTTTCAGGAAGTCTTCCATGAGAATGCTGAAAGGCTTCAAATGCTGAAGGTAATTGCTTATTCAATGTAGTTGATATACTGTAGTATGAGTATATCCCTCTTCAAGTTTTTGTGGTCATTCTGTTTAGCCATGTACTGTAGTATGAGTATGTCCGCCCTTATAGTTTTTGTGGTCAATCTGTTTAGCAATATACTGTAGTATGAGTATGTCTGCTCTTCTAGTTATTGTGGTAAATCTGTTTAGCAATATACTGATTTTAAATTTGTGAAATTTCCTTCCATGGAGACACAGATCATCTCTTGTCTATTTGATGCTAATTTTAGTGTTGGTCAAATTTTTTGGTGCTTTCTTCTGAACCTTATGTCAATTGGTCAATGTGATCAAAGAAATCTTTGCATGTGTTGACAAAATGCATTGACCAGACAATTAAAACAAGGGGCAGCTAGGAGTCGAGCCCCTAAAACAGCACCCAGCGTGAGTAATTTTTCTATGTTCTTAAAAATAACCTTAAACCTTTTCAACTTCAATTGTTGTAAGGTATGCCGGTATTCTTTAGGATTGTCAGAGGCAGGTGTAGGAAGTAAATAGAGAGATGAGAAGTGTTTTTTGAGTGAAAACATTAAAATATTTTGATAGATCTACCCTCTTTTATAGGCCACAATTTTTTATCGAGGAGTTCATTTTCCATCCCCTTTTTCGTTAGAAGGGAAAGTTTTTGTGGCAGGTGGAGATCTGTATGGTTTTATGGGGTTTGGGGGGTGAAAAAAACAATAGTCTATAAAGAGGCCGAGAGAGTTCGTAGTGAGGTTTGATCCACCACTAGGTTCTACGTTACTCCTTTATAATTATCTGCTTGGTCTTATTTTACTTGATTGAAGCTCTAGTTGATTCTCTTTGTGGGCTTGGTTTTTTGGATGCTCTTGTATTCTTTCATTTTTCTGTCGATAGAAGTTCAGTTTCTTATAAAAAAAAATGTGAAAGTTGCACTCTTATGTTCTCATAACATAGTTTTTTTTTAGTTCGAACAAGGGTTGGGGTAGAAATTCTAATGTCTAGCCTTTTGTAGAGTTTATTATGCCTTGTTAACTAGTTGACCTATGTTTGCCCTGGTTGACATACTTTTATCGCTGTTAAGTTGAGGAAAAGTCCATGTTTTTCTCCTGTTTCTTCCTTTTAAGCTTTATTTGATATTTTTTTATTACTTGCATCATGTACTTTCAACAGAATTGTCTAATTGTAATTTTCATTAAATTTTGCTCTTTATTTAAAAATTTTAATTCTGTGTTGATTTTTCCTGTGAATTCTGCAGGAAGCAGCATCGTTAGAGGTTGATAAAATTATGTTAACAGATGCCCCACTTCTCTTCCCCCCTGGGCAGGTGCTTATTTTCTATTATACTTCCTGTAAGGAACTTACTACTTTAGGACTTGAAACTTTCTACGTTGATCTTCAAGTATCCTGGTGCAATAATTGAATTTATTTCAGGATTGAGCTTAAACTTTTGCGTTTACCCTTGGCTAATAATTCTTCAGTGGAAAGTGGAGGGTGGAATTCTGGGTTATGCATACATTAGGAAAGTG